CCCGCTCCCATGTGCCAATAGCCACCTCTTCCCCGGGACCCCCATTTCACTGGGGAGCAGAAAGAATATATTTATTGAATGTGTGTCTCAACTTTTTCCTGCAAGGAACTCAGAATAGCTTATACACTTGTCAGCTCTGTCTTGTCCTCACAACAACCCTGTGCGGTAGGCCAGGCGGAGCAGGAATGACTGGCCGGTCTCACCCAGTGAGCTTCCCGCCCAAGAGGGGACTTGAACCCGGAGCCCCCAAAGGCCAGGCCAGCCTTCTAACCGCCACAGCGCTCGTGATGTTCCCCACATTGGGCCACCCCATCTTGAGCCCAAGACAGGAATCGAGCTCGGCTGATGCATTGGAGACACTGCCCTTTGGAAACCAAGCCCCCGTTTTAGGGAGAAGAGCGATGCAAATTACGTTGGTGACAGAGTCTGATATGCCAAGCAGGCATACCATGTTGGGCCCTTTTAATGCAGGGATGGCTTTTTCCGAGCGACATGCCTTTTCTTTTGCTCCAGCTCGCTGCGCAGTGGAGGACCCAAGCTGTTTTGCGGGATCATACCCGTCCAGCACTGCCGTCCAGCGTGCCCACTGCAGGGGCCCACGAGCAGCTTGTGGGGCAGCCAGTAGGGAGCCGCCCCCGATCTTGCCGGCCTCTTAACTGCCGCTGCCGCATCAGCCCTGCCAAGTCCTATTAGCAAATGAGCGGCGACTGAATGTGGGGGTGGTAATCAAAGTGACACTTTTTGCCATGAAAATGCTGGGAAAGTATCCCTCGAAAGCCCTGAAGGTGATGTGATTAGCAGCAATTAACAGGCATCCCATTAATGCCGGAATTTCTAGCAGCCTGGGAACGCAGCCCCGCTCAGCACAGTTCAGCTCACCGAGGGGGAAGACCGAGCGCGGTCCAGGAGCTTCCTTGTGAGCCTGTCCCATCCCAGCATCCGGAGCAGAACCGTGCGGATCGGATCAGTGTTCTAGAACCCTTCATGCATACCTGAAATCTCTGTGCTGAAGAATCACCCTGACTTCATTTCCAATGAAAAACGATCCAACACAAGTAAGGGGTCCGAAACAACAGAAGCCACTGCAGGTTCGACGACAATGAGCAAGGAAGCAGAGGGGCCCGTGCGCCAGCGTGCCCCGAGACATCTTTGGAATGCAGCCAGGGCTCCTGCTGCTGCTCTTTCTTTCCTCTTGCACAGCAACATTTACGGGTAGGCGGGATTGCTTGCAAGCCAAGTGTGGGCCTCTCGCGGGGCCCGCCCCCCTCCATGCAAACGTTTCTGGGTTACCCCACAGACTTGGAAGCATTCTTGGGAAAGGAAGGCGGCCGCTGGCTGCAGCCCAGCCCCGTCCTCTGCAGAGTGCCGTTCTGGGCAGTGCCTGGGGCAATTTCTCCACTTGCCAAGTGTGTCCGGGACCCCCAGAGTTTGCCCGCCCTGTTTGTACAGGCAGCAGAACACCGTGCGATGCACGAGAAGGCAAGGCAAGGGCTGTCTCTAGGGCACAGCTTCGGCTGAGCAACATGGACATGAGGGAAGCCATCTTTGGAGCAAGAGAAGTGCAAGCCCAGCGTCGGCTTTGTCGCATCTTCCCTTCGCTTGCCTGCCAAGCCAGAGGTGGCCAGGAGGAGTCAACTGAGGCTTGGGAAGGGCCATGGCTGCCCGTAAGGGAGCAGCCAGTCCCTTGGACACCAGGACCCAAGCCCTAAAGGGGTTCAGAGACTGAAGCTAGGCTGCTTATTCTGCCCAGAAGCCCATGGCAAAGCCAGTGGGGGAGGCCTGAACTACTATGGAAATGCCACAGGCCTACAGAATGGCATTTAAAATGTACCCATATAAATCAACGGCACTGAGAAGTTTCCCCCTGAAAGGGGCATAGAAAGGTCTGAATAATACAGGAACAGGAGACCCTCTAGGTGTTGGGATTCTGGACCAGCTGGGGTCTGACAGGTCAATACCCATATTTCAAAAGCTGCCCATGTGTGGGCCCCAGAAGCTCCGCACCAGCGAATGCAAAACATTTTCCTCATGTCATGCATCTCCCCAGCTGCTCCATTCCACCCCTGTTCTGCTTCCCGAACGCTCCTCACAGGCCTTGCGCACACCAACCGCGGTGCAGAATCCCGGTCTGGAAGTTAATGTGGTGTGGAGAGCAGTGGATGGGTCTCTGGTAGAAGCCAGAGACACTCGCCTGCAAGAGCATCGCCATATGGCCTCGGGATGCGTATATGAATCCGGGAGACACCCACACCTTGCCAGGAGCAATCCGTCTGTGGTTTGGAGTCTCTTTCCCAGCAGGGCTGCGAAATGCTTCCTGGGCTTGGGCTTCTTGGCTCCCCTCTTGACGGTTGCCTACGGCCCAGTCCTGCCAACCTTACACTAAAATGCAAGCCAGAAAGCTTGTTGGGAAGACCAACTGGTTTCCCATGCTGTGCCGTCATTCTGCATCTCTTCAATTCCAGACTCTGCAAATTTGCAGGCTCCCACACAGGTTTGCGAGGGTCTGATTCGGGGGAGCAGCTGCTTCTTGCATACACGGCAAAATCTCCAGCAGGGCTTATGCACCCAGAAGGGCAGCTGCAGGCATGCACGTTCCGTCCTTCCTGTGGAAGCGTGCCACTGGATGGGACTGTGGCTGGCCCAGGTGAGCGACCGGGACTGCCTCCTTTCCAGGCAAAAACCTAGCTCCAAGAACTGCTTTTGCCAACACCTCCCTCTGCTGGAGCAGCAGGAGCTTTGCAGCAAGAGGAAAGGAATACCTGGGCCTAGAAATCAAAAGATGCTTGCTCCTGGGGAGGAAAGCGATGGCAAATCTAGACAGCATACTAAAAAGCAGAGACATCACCACGCCGACAAAAGTGCGTCTAGTCAAGGCTATGGTTTTCCCAGTTGCAGTGTATGGCTGTGAAAGCTGGACCATAAGGAAGGCTGAGCACCAGAGAATTGAGGCCTTTGGATTGTGGTGCTGGAGGAGACTCCTGCGAGTCCCTTGGACCGCAAGGCGATCAAACCGGTCAGTCCTAGAGGAGATCAACCCTGACTGCTCTTTAGAAGGCCAGATCCTGAAGCTGAAGCTCAAATACTTTGGCCACCTAATGAGAAGGAAGGACTCCCTGGAGAAGAGCCTGATGCTGGGAACAATTTATGGCAAAAGAAGGAGGGGACGGCAGAGGATGAGGTGGCTGGATGGGGTCACTGGGGCAGTCGGCATGAGCTTGAGTGGACTCCGGGGGAAGGTGGAGGACAGGAAGGCCTTGGGGAATGTTGTCCATGGGGTCACGATGGGTCGCGATGATTCAAACTACCCTAAAGAGCAATTTCTTCCATACAAGCAAGCCCAGGTCTTCAGCCCTCCGAGTGGGACGGTGCGACGTGGTGTCCTGCAACAGCAGGGGTTGGACTCCGTGGCCTTCGTGGCCCCTTCCAACTCTGCTATCCAACGATTCTATGATCTTCGGGAGGGAGGCCGCCTGAGAGTGGAGCCCCTGCTCCCTCCTTGACCAGAGGTGACATTCCAGCAGCCTCGTTGCGGAGCAGCTTGGGTGGGAGGAGGCCCTGCACCCATCCTGCTGCAGGGATCCCGTGGGCGGCTGGTTTGCCAGCGTGGGAACAGAGTGCTGGACTAGACAGGCCTTTCGTCTGGCCTAGCAGGGATTTTCTTAAATTCTTACCATGTTGACACGAAACGGTAAGGCACAAGCCACGGAAGGAAAGTGAGGTTGAAGCTGTGGGCGCTGTCGTCACAGGTGGTTCCTTCACGCACATCAGCTCATAAGGCCTCGGATCTCGTCTTGCACCTCTGACAGGGAACACTGGTTGCTCTCACTGCACGAGGACGTGCAGCGTCTTCCCATGATTCGATCCCAACACACCCGTCAGATGTGCAGGATCAAGCCCGTGTTATATGTGTGCCAAGACAAACCAGCCTCCGGGTCCTCCTGTTTCCATGGCTCACCGGAGCACCCCAGGTGCACGCCTGCATCAGAAACCCACTCATGGGATATTGCTGAATGGCCGGCAGTGGTCACTGGTCAGTGTGCAACAGGGAACCCAAGACGTTCAGTGGCACGTTCCACATGAGTTCCATTTAATTTATATCCCACCCGTTTGCCAAAAACTGATGCTCAGGGTGGCTTCCTGAACTTAAAAAGGCAGAAGCAAGACTAGGAGAGTAGGGTCTCCACATGGCTCTGGGTGGCTTTGGGCTAGCCAGCAGCGCTCAGCCTGGCCTGCCTCGTGGGGTTGTTGTTGTGAGGATCAATCGGCGCTTACGCAAGCGGTGTGTGAGGAAGGCCCACTCGGCTGGAGGCCCACAGCTTGCACTGGCTGCCCCACGTCTGTGGGGGGCGGCCTGCCCTGCTGCCGCAGGCCTCGGACAGCTGCCGAGGGGGGCCCGGCTGGCTCGAGCCCCTTCTGGGCCCCTCGCTGCCCGGGCGTCGTTCGTTTTATATGTTTAATGCATTATATTTTAATTGATGTTTTGTGAGCCGCCCCGAGGCTTCGGCGAATGGGGCGCCATGGACGTTTTCTAAATAAATAAACAAGCAACCCCCTCCACCGCTCGCTGCAGCCCCGCGCCGGGGGCCGCTCCCGCCCCGGGCAGGTCCAGCCAGGCCGGACCGGGCTGCAGGGGAGCCGCGCCGCCGGACGCGGCCAGGGCGCCCCGCGAGGCTTCCGCGGGAGGCGGCGCGGCCCGCGAGGGCAGGCTCCGCCCCCAGGGCGGGGCCGCGGC